ATAGATAATATATGAGATAACTCAGTTTGTAAAAAAGCAACCTAAAGAGTATCATCTATATATGCTAAAACAGAGCATTATTTTTATAATGAGTTAGTTGTTTGAAGTTTTAGATTAGTGGTCCAAGTTGATTATAAAATATATCCAGGAACTTTTGAGTATATGTATGAAATAAGTAGATCATAATAAATTTGCCATAATAAAAATATAATTATTTCACTTTGGTCAATACCATTGTGAACTGGATAAGAGGAAGAAGACCAAGATTGGTAATAACTTGGTTGTGATAATCAGTAAGAAGATCAATAAGAATGTTGATAATGAATGAAAAGAATAACAGGTGAGAGAGTGAATGTTTGAAAAGAGCAAATTTTACAGAATCATATGCTTTATTCATATCTTGTGAAAGTAACCAAATATCTTTGTGATTACAGATAGCATCTTCAATAAGATTATTGAGAATGTAAATAGGAATTGAAGTACTATTATTAGGGAATGCAATATAGGTAAAAGATAAAAAAATATGGTTTAAAAAAAATATAAAGCTAAGTCAGTTTGTAAGAATTTTTGTGTAAAGTTTGTGAATATGTTTGATTAGACTGATAGGTTATATGAGATTAAGGTTACCATCAAAGGTATTGCATTTAGGAATAGGATAAATTCTACTATGTTTCTATTGTTTAGGAATTCTGTTATTAAGAAAACAACAATTAAAAAGAGCTGTAATAGTAGAAGTACATTGGAGTCTAATGAATTTAAGTATTTTATAACTAATGCCTGTAGGACCACAGGCTTTGTTATTAGGTAGTTGTGAAAGGGTTTGAAGAAGTTCTTCATTAGTAATAGAAATGTTAAGTAAATGATATCAATTTGGATTGATGTGAGGAAGTGGAAGGTATTGTTGTTACCAAAAATTATTAAAAAGGCTTTCATTAATAGATTTGAGTGATAATATTATTTTATCAGATATATATTATTACTATATTTTATAATAATTATTATATATTAAAACTTTAAATAAATATTACTTTGATTTTGTTAATTATAATTCTTAACAAAGTTTTAACAAATATTAATAAAATCTTGATTGCTTGAAATAATAACTTATATTATATATTTTTTTAAACAAATATCTGCTCATGCAATATATTTATTATATAAGTTTTTTATATTCAAAAGTTTGTATTTTTTTGTCAAGATATGCTAGTTGGCAAGAATAACCTTAGTCATAAATTTTATAAATTTTTGTATAGACTAAACACACCAAGCATACTAGATATGCATTAAGTGAAAACTTAATTATAGATATAGAAAGCTAAGCTATTTAGCTTATAAAAAAAATATTAATCAACTGTGTTACTATATTAAAATAATTCATATCTTTGAACAGTCACTACTGTTTATTTATGTAGATTTTTTTATTTTTATTTTTTTTGAACTTTGGTAACAATGCCAGTTGGTTTATTAGCTTTAATTTGATATAGTACAAATTTTACAGTTACATTTTTAGAATCAATTATTACTAGTACTATATACTATCTAATTTTACACTATTGACTTCACCTGGTTACCTATATGGCACCTAAGCGCATGTCTGCCACATGCTTACATGCAGTTATCTTAACAACTACTTGTGGTTAGGGCATATCATTAAACCATTATATTGACAAGAATACCTACTAAACTTAATACAGTATCCCTAATGTTAGGGGTACTGTCTTTTGTAAATTATACTCATATGTTCCACTTATATGTTTTACCTAGTCTTATTTTTTCTGCTTCTTAATCTAACTATATCTAGTATTATCTTGTTTCCCATATTTCTCATCTTTTTGCTACTGTACCACTCCCAAATTGGTCCTACTCGAGTATGTTTGATCCTTATAATCTTTCTATCTTTGGTATGCCTGTTATTAATTCCACTAAGGTGTTCCAACAATGGTCCAGGATCTGTAAAGAACCCATATCTCAAGCCAGATCTATTATCACTATTGGTCTTTTGACTAATCCATATCTCAAGCCAGGTCTGCTGTCACTGTTTCTGCAAATGTCTCAGGTTATAATGTCATACAGTAACTCGATGCTATATTTAATCTCCAACATGATGTTCCCTTCTATGGTAAGGACTGAGACTTGTTGTGCTTACAAACAGAATAATTTTGGTTATATCTAGGGAGTTCCCCCAACTTCAGTAATACTATACTACCATATATAGCAAGCTCCCAGCTTATTTAATAATACCTACAGGACAATTCTGATTATGCTCCAAGGAGTTATACTAACCCTAGTAATGCCATACTACCTTGCAAATCTTATCTCACATTGGTTGGTTGATCCCAGTCTTATTCATTATAGACTTCTATATAGGTACGATCAGGAATCCAATTTGGTACTTTTATATTGCACAAGGAAGTTATATGCCAACATTCAAGATTTTTCCCTTTTATAGTTAGATTATTCAGCTGTGCCAGAGGTGCTTTCAATTTTGGTTAGACCAATCCTTTATCATAGTCTGTCCTCATGTTTACCACTTCTCTCACCATTCCAGTCTTGGTTACTTTCAGAATACTCTTCCAATCAAATTCTCTTCTGGAATCCTAATTAAGACTTATTTGTACAATCTGTTAATTATCCTTCCAAGCAAGTACTCCACAAGTTGATGTAGAAATATTGGTACTGCCTATATTAGGAGGTATAAGGATGTTGGTGCTGCCCTAACCTAAAGGACTTATATGCGCAATCTTTCTATAACTGTAACCTTCTGTAACAACTGCTTGTTACACATAGTGTCTGCACTCCACAATTGGGTCTCCTTCTAGGAATTCTTATTTCCATTATTGTACTGCACTTGGACTTAACCACAGGGCTTTACATTCAATTATAGGCTCTTTATTAGGTTACAGAAGCTAAAATCTTTTTAATTTTGCCTTCAGCCAGACTTGAACTATTGACCTTGACTATGAAGGATATGGGAACTTAACTGCTAAGCTATGGGACCCACACCCTTTATGTAAATTTGAGATTTAGATTTAACATTTTTACTACTTTACAAAAATTTGTCAATATTGAACTTGTTATAAATAAACAATTTAACAGTACTGATAATGTACTATTAAAATCCTATGTGAAATTCATTAAACCAAAAGATATGCAATTAATTCTTGATTTTGATTGGCCAATGGCTGTGATCAACAAACTTCTAATCCATATTCATAGGAAGAAGTTCATTTGATTAGTTAATTTTTATAGACCTACCTATGATCAGCTGTGATAATTAACCAATCAAATTATATAATTTAAAAATTTATAACTTTAATACTAAATGAGTGCTATTGAAGAAAACTTCATATGAAGAAGTTTATAAATTAATAAATATATGAAAGAATTAATTTATTTCAAATATATATAAGATAGATTGATACATATAAAGTAAAGTAAAAGTGGTATTTATTATTAATAAACCCAAACATATCAATACAATCTACAATCTATAAACCAAACTTTATTATGATTAATAGACCAAAACATAACACAAAAACCAAGCATATTCAAGTATTAAACCCAGAACTTCTTTTACAATAAACTTACTCTTGTTCAAATTCAATAGTTAGTAAAAAAAAGTTTTTCAAATATAACATAATAAAGCTGTCTTGAACAAAAATGTTCTCACTTATCTTCATTTCAATATAATTTGAGATTGTCCAATAAATGATCAGTATATTTTGTTTTCTAAGCAAACTATACGATGAGTATGATCTTTTTTTGATTCTTTTGTACAGTGAATCTTGACACTATTCTTAAGCTATAAATGGTCTTTGCGATAATTTTTTATTAGTAAAACATTATGTTATGGAAAAGTACTTTAAAGAATATAAATAAGTTATCTGGGAAATTGATTTACATTAGTCAATCAAACAATCTTCTTCCTTTGAGGTTCACATTATCCCTTAAACCGTCCAGCAGGCAAATTTACCTGCTAAAATCTTTTTTCAACAATTTTTATGTACCCACGCCAAATTTTATTAAGCTTGTTCCCCTATATCGCTTAGCTAGAATTAAAGTTTACCATACAACCAATCACCTCCCATCTCTCAGTTTCTCAAATGCATTATGATGCAATGTTACAGTAACTTTTGTAAATCCTGCATATGATCACAATGCATAAAGCTACAATCATAAAATCGTCTACTGCTACATAAATAACAAAAAAAAAAAAAAAAAAAAAAATGTCTTCAAAAATTTCATCATTTACAAACTTGTCATTTGCAAGTTCATCATCATCTCTTTTAGAAAATGTAGAGACATATTATAATGATGAAGATATGTATCATTTTTGGGATTTCACCCAAATTTTTGGAATAACCCAGATTCAGATTATGAGGATGAGAATGAAAATGCCACAATAGACACAAAAAGTGTCTAAAAAAAAAAGCTCAAACAAACTCTGCAGCTGCCACCACCACCTTATTTTGAACCATTGGTTCACCCAAGTTCATTACTTCATGTGAGCATTTGGTTGCCATCACATCTTGTTGTTGGTGTTTCCTGACCAATCGATTTTTTTTACTTTTTTTTTCAATATCCATAATGGATACAATAGTTACAAATATGAATGAATATGCTTTAATAAACAGTACAGGTGCTACTGGTAGATGGTGGGAGAACATAACTTGCAAAGAGCTTCTTGTTTAGATTGCTCTGGTTATTTACCAGGGACTTTTCAAGTTGCTGTTCCTTGACCAATATTGGAATAAAAATTAAAATTTCTGATCCACCATATTTCAAAACTTATGCCATTGAAACGCTATGAATTGATTAAAAGGTTTCTTCATGTCTCCCCTTCCACCCTCACATCAAAATTAAAAAATTATTTTGATAAAGTAGAACTGTTATTTTCACATGTTTGTAAGGCTTCCAAACAGTACTATATACCAGGTTCCAATGTTTCAGTAGATTAAATGATGATTCAGTTTTTTGGAAGAAGTATTCATACAATTTGAATGAAAAATAAACCTGTCCCTAAGGGTTTTAAGATTTTTTCTCTTTATGAATCCAGCTACACTTACACTTTCCTACCAACATCATGTGTTGCTGAAAATGATGTACCTAAAGTGAATGGTCTTAGCAAAGTTGGGTCCCTAGTTCTTTACCTTGTTGAACAATTCCCATATAAATGATTTCCTTATAATATATACATGGATAATTACTTTACTAGTGTTCCTCTCTTTCAGTATCTTCAACAAATAGGTATTGGAGTTTGCAGAACTATTCAAAAAACAACATCCAGATTTCCAAAAGCATTAAAAGTTGACAAAAATATCAAATTGAATTGGGATATTCATTCTGGAGTTAAAATAAATAATACATTGATGATTTTCTGGCAAGACAATGGATCAGTTACAATGTTATCTACAATTTACAGTCTTGTGGATGAAGAATGGGAAGTTGAACAAGAATGATGTCTACCAAGAGAAACAAGTACTAATGCAGCAAAAGTGTATGCAATATTCGGTTCTGAATCAAAAAAAAATTTAAAAATCCCCAAAGTAATTGATGACTATAATAATAATATGAATAGTGTAGATGTTGCTAACCAGCTTCAATCCTATTATGACACCCAACAAATTGCACAGCACAATTGGATGCTTTTTTTTTTGGCTTTTAGACACTGTAATTATTAATGCATATTTAATTACCAAAGTTTTAGGATCAACAAAGAACATAAAGAATTCTGTAATGAACTTGTTTGGGATCTTATTAATCTTGCAAATGATACAGGTGAATCCCAATTAAGAAATAGTTCAAAAGAAGAAATGAAAAAAAAAACTAAAATCATGAAGCACTTTAAGCTTTCTGATCAATGGTTGGTACCTGGAAATCATTTTGCCATGTGGAAAGAACAATGAGAAGCTTGCAGATGGTGTACTTGACTGACAAATATAAATGAGTTGGATATAGATTACAAAACACCACACCAAAGCCAAGTTTGGTGTTTATCATACAATGTACCCCTCTGTTGCAACAAGAATCAGAATTGTTTTCTTGGATTCCACATTGAAGAAAAGGAATCAAAAAAATAAAACTATGTTAACTAGGTGGGTGGGTGGGCAAAGAGACTTTATGGGTCAAACCTAATAATAATTGGGTAAGTGGATGGATGAATCGGTCCTTCAAGGCCAAAACTAACATTAATTGGGTGGGTGGGTGGATGGGCGAATGGGTTCTTTGGGGCCAAAGATGATGAATAAAAGAATTTGTCAAAAAAAAAATTTTTTTTTTTAAATATTTATTTTATTTTATTTAATTTATGTATCAGTTATATACATTAGATATTTTTAATTTATCAATTCACTAATCTATATGACATCCTGGTAGTACTAAATATTATATGATCAAGCTTTAAATTTTGCAATCGAATCCCGAAAAATTGATAATACTAAAATTCGATTTGGTACCGTCAGAATCGTGATTTTAAATGGTACTAATGCAAATTGTAAACATCTTGACTACATTATCAACTTTGCTTAAGCACATGGTACTTTAATCTGCTCGGAAGACCCAAAAATTTGGATCACAAAACAAAATTCATGGCAATAACATCATATTTTTCACGTGGCTTGAATTTTTGTCCTTTGTTCCTATTACATGACGTGCGCCATGCTTAAATGTTATGGTACGCCATGTAATCCTTGCCTTAAAGAGTTGTTCTAGCCTATTTAAGTAAAGATTTTTATGATTTTTTTTTTTACCCTATAAAATTTTCTCTCGGCAATTTTAGCGGGCAAATTTGCCCGCCAAAATGGACGGTTTAAGGGATATGTAATTTTGGTCGGAATTCGATTTTTTTAATTGTTGTTATTGAACTTCAATAGATTTTGCATAAATTTTACTAATCAAATCGATGCGCATATGATAGAATGATCACGTTCCTTACAAATTACATGTAATTTTGACTTCAGAAACTTACGTAAAATTACTAAAATTGCATAAAAATACGGTAATCTTCCTAACTCTAATTTCACTTAATGGGTGGCCACGATTTCATTAGTAAAAATTCGAGTAACTTTGCCTAAATTTTTGATCGTTGCTGTTGGCCAATCAAAATAATGAATTTCCATATATTTTTTGCAAAGTTTAATCGCAATAGTTACATTGTGCACGTTCTTGGCTAAAGCTTTCATCTGGTCCAATTTTTGTAAGATATTTCCAAATAACATCATCTTCATGCATCTTATATTTATTTTTAAAAAGGGTGACTTAATCATAAAGAAAATTTTTTGGTACATACCAACGGCAAAGAAGGTAAATTCTTATTATATATATTTAATTATGTGTGAAATGGTATGCAAATAAATAAATAAATTCTAATTAGGAATTAGCTAAGTATGTTAATGCAGGCCAGATATTATATTAATGCTAGCAAGATGTTATGATCATGCTAGCCAGATAATCTTATTTTGGGATCATATGCGTATGCCCATCTCTAATATTTATCAATTATTATGCTAATAAATGTCAATATTAGCAATATATTGACAATATTTTGGTAATAATAAAGGTCTGAAAATTATTTAACCAATTTATTAGGTAGTTAAAAGTGATGATAATGAAAATAATCTTGTAATAAATTATTCAAGTTGCTAAATTAGTACTAATAACGCACTTTATATTGCTTATTATTGGCAAATAATTGCATATCTCAAAATTATCAGATTTTTGCAAAGTATTTCTCTTTTTTGAACAAGTTGGATGCTATCATGATTAGATGGCCGTTTTTAGTTGATTTTTAGATTAATATCGATATTTAGGCTTAGGCATGAGGAGAGATTTAAACAAACACATATAGTCCCAAGAATATTTGATCAAATTTCATTGGCCAACATTAATCACATGATTAATGAAGTTTATGCTGCGTCGTGATTGGCTTGAGGGATGACGTTAACCTAATAATAGCCCACATTCATTATTTTTTTGTGTTTATTCTTGCAGAATAAGTTGTACCATGTATCTTTATACGCCTTTTATATCAAAAAAAGGTTAAGCTGCTCAATTTTGTCTTAGTTACTACTGAAATCCTAGAAATCCGAGGTAAAAGAACTTGAATCTATTCATTGCGTACAAACTGGTAATTAAAATGATGAATGTGAACAAAAAGTATCAATAGAATTGCAAAAACTTCTAATTTTCCTATATTAATTATACAATTGTCGCGGTTGATGCTGAAATTTGTATTAGAATTTTGGGTTAGAATTGATAAAAAAGTGTATATATGGATTTTAGTAGGGCTTATATTTTCAAATCGAGACTCCAAATTTCAGCATCAGTCACGACACTAATTGTTCGTTTTCCTTTCATTCATACTACTAATACTAATTGTTCTTTTTTCCTTTATTTCTTTCATTCACATTAATTATAATAATTGTCCTCTTTTCTTTCATTTCATGAAGTCAAGTTCACGGGAAATGTTTCGTATATTCATGTATCGTATAGTTTTCTATATTCGAATCACCAAAACAATGTCAAAGCCATGAAGAAGCAGGAGGAACCATCGATATTACACGACTGATCCTTCACCCGGTGTGCAACATATAAAAAATCAATTTACAATACCAGATCATCCCATAGTACATGTTATGATTATAATCCCACATCATTTTTATTATAATAAAATGGTGTGAGGTTGCACACCGGGTGAAGGAAAAATTTCTATGTGGATCGCAAGATCAGGTGCAACTAGAGATGGGTTTCATGTGTGCGCATGATTCCATTTCATGCGCATTTTATCCCATCAAGATTTCTCTCCTCTCGATCGGTTTTTCTTTTTTTTGTCATGCGATATCATGCGCATGTTATTATAAAATCCCATCAATAGGTGCAACCTTCGTGTAACGTGAAATCGAAGGTTTTTTCAAAACACTACCGGTAACTCAAATTTTGTCTGAGAAATCACTTTTTACGTTCTAATAAACAAATCACAGGCCAAATTTTACTATACAACGTTAATTATCCCCTAATCCTAATGCTGGTCAAATTTCACGTACTTTTAGCGAAAATAACAACAAATAAATATTTACTATTGGTATTGTTGGGTTCGGAAGATTGCGACTCTGTCGCTCCAAAATTCTAAACCTCGCGTAACGTACGACAAGTAAGCTTTTCGAAAGAGGGTGTTAGATTTGGCTTGTGGGCGAGAAAGGCTTTCGGTTACTTTGGGTCAACGAATACAAGTA